TTTGCACTCTTCCTGGATGATACATTTGACATCCTCCCACAACTCATCTGGTCTTCGCTCATTCGTGTTCAAGGCCTCAAACCTGTTCCTGAGATGATTCTGAAATTCAGGTGGGATAGCTTTTCATAAACTTGATGCTGCTACTTCTGTCAGTCATTTTATATAATCTCCAGGTCCCCTCATTCTCAGTCCTCTTGATCCATTCATATTCTTCTTCTTCATTTTCATAGAATTTTTGGTTCAAAGAAAATAACTGTACCTGCTACTTATCTCCTCGTGACATATTCTGAAGATACATTCCCCTCTCCGATAATTTTAGACTCTTCCATTCTACTCTGATTCCCTCCTAAAGTTACTTTTAAAGATTATTACCAAAACATTGCCATTTTAGGTAACTTTACCATGAACTTGTGTACTACTCTAAACCAAAACCCAAACCCCATTGCTGTCAAATTGATCCCAACTCTCAGTGACCCTTCATCAAGTTTCCAATGTATAAAACTTAGCAGAAAGAGACTGTCTCATATTTCTCCCACAGAGAAGCTAGTGGATTCAAACTGCCAACCGTTCTGTTGCCATCCCAAAACATAACCACCGTGGCTATTCTCTATATTTTCTAAATCCTCAATATATTTTGTCAAAGTTATTTACACTTATTTCCTACTTTTTCATTTTTTTATTTACATTGAAACCACTATGGGAAAATTTCTATAACCGTAGAATAGCTAGAATGCACCAGATTCTATTTGAAAATGGACCCTTAAACTCACATAAATTTATAGCACATTTTATGTCTGTTTCTTTTCCTATCTCTCCATCCCTTCTATCTTCATTTTCCATGTGATCTTCTGGTTTTGTTCACCTATTCCATAAGCATTAATCTTTTCTAGTGGTAAGTTTATAGCTACTGGTCTATAAACAATAATAATAATGAACTTAATAATGGCCTTTTATTTGCAAAAAAATACAAACTATTGCTGTTGTTGTTGTTGTTAGGTGCTGTTGAGTCCAGTATGACTCAGAGTAACCCCATGAACAAAAGATCTGAACTTTATTTTGTCTTGTGCCATCTTCCCGCTTCCTGACACACAAGAGCCCACTGCAGTAGTCACCGTGTAAGTCCGCTTCGTTCATGATCTTCCTCATCTTCATCAATTCTCCACCCTTCACAGCATCATGTCCCTCTCAGTATTTGAAATGAAGCCTCATCATTCTTGCCTCCAAAGTGTACTCCAGAGATGTATTTGTTTATTCTCTTGGCCAAGCATGGGATGTTCAGTTCTCGTCTCCAACACCACAGCCCAAAGGCATCAATTCTTTTTATATCTTCCTTATTCATTGCCCAGCTCTCACAATGCATAGCAGGTGATCAGAAGGGCTAAAGCCTGAATCAGATGCACTTAAG